GCGTGTGTGTGTGTGTGTGTGTGTGTGTGTGTGTGTGTGTGTGTGTGTGTGTGTGTGTGTGTTTCCTTTCTCAGCCTTTGTCATCACATCCTCTCATAAAAATAGTTTCTATGGGATTTATAGTGTCTCTGACCAATTTAACTCTCCTGACGTTTGAATGTCGCGGTCTGGATACATTTCACATGTTTTGCTCATTTCACCAACTTTTATGTCTGTTCAGTTCAAATCCTTTATAACAACCCTTTTAACAAATCTATTTTCACTTTTGCAAAAAGCAGTTCCAGTTGTAGCTCTCTCAGTAAAGTTATCGAGACTGTTCAGTACATACACAATAGTTCAGTTATTTTATGAGACTGTACATAGTGTCAGCCACAGAGGGGCAGCAAACTCCAGGATCATTACATGCTGCCCCTGATAATGAGACACCAGCATTCCCTTCTTTGTTTATGTTTGGCTTTTGCTGTATTTCCATATTAAACAACACTAGTTATGTAATTGGATTAAAAATAATAATAACTAACTAATCTAATCTATCTACATGGTGGTTCATCTGAGTACATTGGCTGCAAACAAATGGGATAAATTGTAATAAACTAAAAGATTGATATTTGAAATCGACTAATGCCTCTTTGATAATAGATTTAGTTTTTTGTAGTCAACACCCCCTCAGTTGGATGTGATAAAAAGATTGCTCTTGTATTCATTTGTTTGCACTATTAACCAAATCACTATTATTCCACAATGATTATTTTTCAGATTGAGCAAAAGCCTGTGATGCAGGTGTTCAACGCTGTGACAGGAGAAATGTTACCAGTTACAGGAAGTGAGGCCCTTCTGCACATGTCCGTCGCAGGATTGAAAACGATGGTGTCCGTGCAGAGCGGCCTCCCCGTCAGCACCTTCAGACTCAGCAGCCTGACAGATGTGCAGCTCTTTGACTGTAACCAGCTGCAGGACTACTCCATTGAAGTGGGTATGGTATGATTACTGTCTGTGTTGCTACAGGACTGATGTGCGCAGCTTCACAGTGAGTGCTATTTGGCTCATTTATGGAAAGTTGAGGAACAATGTCATTGATTCAGGGAAAAGGTTGATGTGTTGTACTGTCTTAGCTCATGCTCATTAAATCATTTTGTCATGATAGAGCAAGGCTGTTACCATTAGCATTCAACAACTACTGTCATAGTCTTGCTGCATCGCCAATGTTGACAAGTATAGGCCTAAAAGCTCCAATTTGATGAACAAAATAAATGTACTCTATTTAAAGATGACTTTGCTGTTTGCATGCATAAGATGTATTTTAAGATAAAACAGAGTAATAGTTGATATATTTTGAAATCAATGCAGTGCTTTGTGTATCTTAACATAGGCACTACTCTCCGTTTGGACACGTGGGACGGGTGGGTGGAGTTCCTCCACGGTTGCCTCCTGGGTCAAAGGTTGACAGTGCAGAGCCACCTATCAGAGGAGAGGAGTGTGATGAGGTCAGACCTGATGTGAAGCAAATATTGTGGGTCAGAGATCACCAAAGTTAAATGTGGAAGCCATACAAAGCCATGCAGCGATTCACTTCGCCACAGGAATCCAATGTTCTATTCACCTATCTGTGACTGGGCCATAAAAGTGTGACAGAGCTGTTGTCGTTTAATAAATCAGAGTTAATGTCACAAACAAAACATTGTATTCATCTTACGTCAAGTGAAAGTTTCCTCTTATTCCCAGGTTTCAGCTGCGGGCGGCGCTGTACATCGCTGCCTCTTTGGGCCACCTGGACCTGGCAGGCTGGCTGCTGGAGAGGGGGGTGCATGCTGTCGAACCAGTGGGAGTACATCCGTACCGCCAATGGTGCCACCAAACCTCCCACCAAGATGCCGGAAAGGGTCCCATCCATGCAGCTGCAGAGAGCGGTCAGCTCCTCATCCTCAAACTCTTTATCTCCAGAAACCTTTTGAGCTTGGCTTGTCTGGACCCTGTTGGTCGTGACCCTTTGAAAATTGCCATTCAGCACGGCCACAGGGATTGTGTGCGCTACCTAGCCAACAAGCTGTGCTCAGTAGTATCCCTGCCTAATATAGCCCTACCCATGCAGATATACTGTCAAATGAAACGCTGGGTGACTTTGGGACAGAGAAGAGCTGCCTCCAGTCCATTCCAGTACACCTGCGCTCCATTCAAAGGCAGGGTGGGTGACATGTTGCTGGTAGATGGCTTCAACCAGCCGCAGATGTCTTCCAAATCCAGGAAAGTTGAGACCAAACCAAGGAAAAGAAACAGAGTTAAAGCTGTGCAACACTTACCACCCATTAGCAACTCTCTCCCCTCCAAAAGGGCACCGCATCAATTACCCAGCCTGCAGTCTGTGAATGACTTTAAAGAGACGCAGAAAAGGTGGAAGCAGGATGTAAACCACAGAGATGATGACGCTTTGAATAAAACAAAGGAGGGAGACAACCGGTGTACACGTCTCCCGCCAGTTACCAGAGGAGGCACCCGCAACTCAGTGTTTGTTGGGTCCCCATTAAAATCATCCAGTATTCTGACTGCATCTCTGGAGTCCTTCTCTCAGCACTGTGGACGGACACCAAGGGAAAATGCCATATACTGCTTGAGTATAGCCAGGTATGTTCATCTACATGTGTTCAGTAACTCAGTGAAGGTGCTGCATAGATTTTTACCATCAAGACATTTCTGTATTTACTTTGGGGTTCGACTGATCTCTGCACTACATTCTACATTCTGTGCAACATGGTTGAATGTGGTGGAAAATAAGATTATTTACAGGAAGTCGAGATCTGTTTTTTCTTTTTTCAACAGAGGTAATGAAATTCTATTCATTAAAAAAATGAATAACTGTTTATAATTTTATTTAATTTTTCTCTTTAATATAGAACATTCACAGAAAAACCTTGGTTGAAGCAGCTGAGCATAGCACGGACCTTGGTCAGGAAGCACGTCCACGCCATGGCTTGATACTCGTGCATCCTGTGGCTCTCCCATCAGCAGCCTGAAAAACTGAAGAATACTTCAGAGTGACAACTGAGGAGTGTATCTCAGGTGTAATGTGTCAGTAAAAAGTAAACCTGTCTGTCTTCCGGCAAATATCTGCCTTTCTTTGCTCTTCAGTAAGACGAAGAGAATAACAGACATCATGCATGCATGCATTTTACTTTTTTCAAATGATGACAATTTATGTTGGACAAAAGTCCAGGCAGGGACTGGCCTTTGCTATAATGACTTGCCTTAAGTGGAAATTCAAGGCTGAAACCACTAATATCAAGTGTGTACTATTGTACATGTATATTTTTTGTGCACTTTCTACATATGTCATTATCTATTAACCATTATTTTAAAACCTTTTTTCCTGCTTTGCATTTCATCCTCAAAGATATGAGAATTTTACAGGCTCACATAACTTCTTAAATGATAGCTGCACACATATTTTTCTTTCATTTGTATTTCTGATTACTACTGAGTTAGTCACCTCATTTATTCAAGACATGAACTCAATTAATTGTAAATGTATACATTCAGGTGCTGGTGCAATAAAACATGCAAGGAGGGAGCCTGTGACCCAAGCATTCCATTGCCAACGACTGCTGTATGTAATGGTTGTGCACATGATAAATAAGATCTTGAATCTTGAATCCTGAATAAAGTCATGAGTCTTGAATAAGTTCATTCTTCTATATGTTAATATGGGGCTTGACTTTAATGAATTAAGTTCTTGTCAAATTAAATGAGGTTGTTTATCGAGGTTTCTCTCTTTTATAAAACTGCAGCAGCTTTAATCGCCCTGACACTGTGAGGGCGTGTCCTTATTCATTTGGAGCCAAACCTCTCATCTACAGTCTGCACGGTTAAAGCAAATCTCGCGAGATCCTGGAGCCTCGCAGACCCGCTGGTGGAGCCGTTGCCCCGCCAGCAGTCAGAGAAGCAGCCGGTGAGCAGACATGCTGAACCGCCAGGACCCAGCCTAGCTTCCCCCTGTGCCTCCGGAGCTGAACTGAGTTATGACCGGGGACGCCTCTGAAACTGAGCCGGTCTTTGACAACTGAGAGGCGGACACTAGAGAAGCAGAAAACCAGCTGGAAGAGAAACAGTCCAGTCAGTTCCATTCAGTCCGCCGGTTTGACAGCCTGCGTGTGGGAATGGCAGCTCCTCGGCCGATAAAAGGGATCCTGAAGAACAAGAACAGCGGCACAGGCGTCAAGTGTCTGCCCGACGAGGTGCCGCCGGAGGATCCCGAACAAGCCCCGGGACTCTCGGAGGACGACCCGCAGTAAGTTTTCCATTCCAGCTCGTCGTGAGGTCCGCCCGCCCGGGACTGCTAGCTAGCTTACAAACTTGTTAGCTTCTGTAACGTGTAGGCTAACTGACACTAACGTAAAAAGTCCCCGCTCCGGGTTTTTGTGTCAACCGACAGTGTGTGTGTGAGACACCGGTGAGAAAACTTTCTAACTATCTAATGGCTTCTTCTCCACGACAAATATCTGCATGGTGCCTTGTACCAAGGGCTAACGTTTTGTCATTGGAACCGTGTTAGCTTGTTTCGTTAGCAATTGTGTTAAATGTATGATTACGGTTGATAACTATAAATCATATTGCCAGAGACATTCAACTTTCTTTCATTCAGAAACCTCTTACTGAGGACTAAACTGCTATTTAAGCAACTATAAAACACAGTTTGAAAACACAGTGACCACCCTCATGCAGTGATGACCATAATAGGTCAAATTAAAAACCTCCCTGAGCTGAAAGTGTCCCCATGTACATGTTGAGTTATATAATATGATATTAATTAGTTTAAATTTAGATTACTCCACATTCTCATGTTCTCATACAACCTTTGTTTTATGCTTTCGGTTACACCCAGTTGATCACAGTTAGATCTCATTGTTGAGCAGTCATTGTTAGTTATTGTAGATAACATGATGTTACATTGATGTGAAATATGACTTATTAAAATGAGAAAGGATGGACGCTCCTAAAATGCGATGTCAATTACAATTTTACAATTTGTATAACATTACATACAGTGTGAATTGATCATATTATTTCAGTCTGTTAATCATTAGGTGCAATGAAATGTCAACAAATGTAAAACAAAAATGCCAATAATAATCTAATGTGCAGCCTTTTTTCACAATTGTTGCTTAAAAAAACAATGAATGGTCCGTTACAATAGCTGCTCATTATCTATTAGTGCCAGTCAAATCTTTGCAGCCCTAGAATATTGTAAGACAAACAGTACATGTGTGATACATGGTGTGCTACAGTTTGCATTAAGATGGAGAAGACCTATTCTTATTTTTGCTAATAGCTACAAACAGATTTTATGATATTGCGCTCTTTGATTTGTTGCTCAAGTTAAAATGGTAGTTTGTTGCTCAAAGCCTGTGAGTCATGATGACTTAGCAGGTAAACAAAGCAGAACTGGGTGTTAGTTATATCTCTGGCAGCAAAATCTTGATGTTACGTGTGACACTGACAACTTTTCTGTGGTAAACAAGCCTCCTGTCAAATACCCTGCTTTCTGAAAGCATCTCCCGTGCCCATTTCTCCATACATCTAGTACTGTAGACGTGTACTCAGAAAACATTTCGCCTTGCTTGGCATAACCTCCACCCTGATGCTGGCCAGGACACAACAGGGCAGAGGACGCTTGACTGAAATATCAAGCGTGTTCGATGACACTGAGGACATTTTAGATGAGGTCAACAGCACTGCAGGAAAATAAACGGGGGTGTGCCAACAGTCTCACAGTGTAGGGGCACAGATTCTACAGTGATCTGCCAAAATGGAGATTGTGAAGACTTATGTGAAACTGCTAAATCAGCTGTTCTGTTGTCTAATTGGTGCATGGCCTTATGGTCGGGTTGACGAGAGCTGGAAGTTAGCGTCTCTCTGGAATAACAGTTGAGTTTGGTAGAATCATCAGATGAGTTCCTATTGTGAAAATTTGAAAAACAATTGCAATCAATCTACAATATATGTCACAGCACATTTTATATATACCAATGAATACATTTTTTGTCAGCTTCATCATCATATTCCTCTGGTAGTTACTTTGGAAAGGTAACTTAAGTTGAACGGGTGTTTAATCATTCTTTGTTCCCCCTGCTTCTCTCATGCCCGCAGGTCCAGACATTAGCAATAGTCCCGTCTGAGCTGCAGCATGAGAAATCAGGCCACTGAAGGATTGTTATTAGTGAAAACCATTTCAACAGAGAATCAAGATTTGTTTTCTCTGTTGGTTTAAAAAATAGTCAATGTTTGAGAAACAAGAAACTTGAGGGAAAAAGTTTGCAGTAAGAATTCTGTGTGTACAAGCACCCCAATACATAGACTTCTCTCTCTTGACCTTTGATGTCACAGGCACTGACACTTTCACTGTGGCAGAGAGACAACGCTCCAGATTACTGACCCCTGTATAAAGTTGTTTCAAAGATCTACCTTGATTCTAGATTTGAAGGCATGACATTATAAGAAAAATCCTGACTCGTTTTTATAATGTAACTGGCTCTATAATTTAGGAAAAAATACATTGTCGTATATTTTCAGATATGAATGTCATCTCTGAACACATCTGTGAGTAGCTGGGTAATAAAATACCTTAGGCAAAAAACTGATGCAGGTCTGTTAAAGAAGTATTCTCATGCTTCATGCATTTCTGGTTCAAATCCCATCAGGGCTTTCAAAAGTGCCCTTGAGCATGTTCATCTCTGTAAAGCACATCAACTACTTTTAACAGTTGGCTTAAAATATGTTGATTGTGATTATGTCTTAAAAGTGTCTTAAGTACAAAACCACACTGGTGCTTTTAAGGCTTTACCAGAATAAAAATCTGTCTGATTCACAGTTAGGGTGATGTGTTAACACCACCCACCTGCCAAATGCTGCAAAATCGTCAGTGCAAGCTGGAGTTTCTGTCTGTAACAGTTGGTTTGGTTGGTTTGGGCAGTGTCATCAGACTTTTTTAGTTTTTCAGTAGATTTCAATGTTGAAACAAAATCTTAAAAAAAAGTGTTCATGTATGAATTAGGAACTATTTGAAAACAATATCAACATGCAAACACAAGTTGCATATTATATATAAGATGACTTAATTTTCTTCATTATTATTCTCCATATGTTTTGTCAGTTAAATTGGAAGCCAACCAGCTTTTTACTTTGTTCAAGTTGAATGTGTGGTTTATCATGCCCTGTTCACCCTGTGTCAGCAGGTCCAGACATTAGCAAAAGTCTGAGGTGCAGCGTGAGAAATAAGACCATTGTAGGACGGCAGTTATTAGTGCACACCAGTAATGGTGAGGAAGTGGAGGAAAAATATTTCTCTGGAAGGATGCTGTGTACACCCAAGCACCAAGTCACCACCAGAGTGGTGAGAAGAAAAAGGTCTGAGGTCTCTCATCTTTAAAGCATGTTAAAAGCAAATATACACAGTCACATACCTGTGTATACTCCTAATTGGTAGTTAATGACTTTCTGTTTGCGCTAAGCACCTTACTTGGGATATTACAATATTAAATATTTATTTACCAATGCATTACTCTCAATACCAAATTTGTTACCACAGCAAAACAGAAAATAGAGGCTGCACACGCAATTTGACATAGTTATTGTGATGCAAGCAGTATTTTAGATTGACTTGCAGGTGACAGATCAGTGGTGTGAAAACAGATGCTTAAAAAGTCAGCGTTTTATTTTGACAGACAGTAATGACAGTAGGCTACTAATGTTGTAAGTACCCATATCACATTAGGAGCCATTATTACCTTTGTGAACATTGGGTGTAGAGCATTGGTGCGACAGCACTGCTCACTCTGAGCATTACAACAACCCAGACATTTTCCTTATCAGCTTCACGTGTGTTTGGGAAACATATCACATTGTCCTCTAACTCATTCTACAGTCCCCAGAGGATATCCTGAACAAGCTCGACAAATACCTACCACCCGGCATTCATTTGGTCTACCATCTGTCAAACAATTCAGCTTCCCACCATAGATTTCTAGTCACAGCATGAACCCAGTAGATGTCTCAGTGCTCACAGTCAGTAGAGTGCAGCTCTCTTGATGCCTGTTTTTAATCACTCTGTTGTTAATGGAGACAAACACAATCTGTTGAAGTCAAATATATAAAGATACTAGGATAAAGTAAAACGGCCATTATCCCTTGAGGACACAAGTCTGCAATATACAGTGTGTATCCCACGTGTTTCATTTGTGTATTTCCCTTGTAATTCCAATATTTATCCTACTCTACAAAGGCTCTCTAAGGTAACTTATTTGGTGTTTTCTAAGGTTTTGGATAAACTGAAATCATACAGATTCCACTGTACATGAATGTTATTCACATAAACCTTATCTCCTGTGCAATTGTTTTTCTAAAAAATACTTTTTGTTATCCTTTCAATCTTCCACTATTATTTAGTTAACTGTGATGTATGAACATCACACCCAGTCATATATAATTCATGGATGCCTCCATGAAACTCAATCTCTCCTTCAGTGTCTTACAGGCCTCATCCTGACTGTGTGATGGACAGTTTGACTGGCAGGCAGCAAATCTCAGATTTTCCATAATGTGGACACTCAGACCATTTATCCTCCTGTGTGCTGATCATTTGAAGTGAAACACAGTTAACTGCGGCTTATAAAGCCACAATGAACAGGTGTCAGGTGAACACCTCCAGTCTATAAGGATTAAGAGCATCAAGGCAGTGAAAATGAGTGCCGAGTACCCTCTTCATTATGGGTCATATTCTTAATGAAGAAGAGGAAGAAATATCAGTGTAGTTATAGTTTTTCTTTTTAACCTTTTTATAATGTTCTACAGGCATTTCTTTTGGCATTTTGGCTTAATTCAGATTTTAGATATGCAACAACCAACACTGACTTGACTTACTTTCTTATTTGTAGCAGGCATCACACATTTCCACTTAATGCCCTTAAACCTCTGACATGTTGAGTGTATCCAGTTTTTGGTCCCTCCTCTTTAATCAGCTTCTCCTCTGATGCCGTGTTTCTCTTACGTCTGGAGAGATGACAGGAGCTCAAGAAACTCTTCTACTTGCTAAATCTAGTTGGATATCTGTCAAATTTCATGTAATCCTTTACTGAGCAACTGCAGGCGGTTAAAGAACAGCAATTGGCACTTGTGATGTTTACCAAACAAAAATTCGGAGAAACTCAAAAAAAAAAAAAGGTTTTAGGAAAGAAAAGATAATCATCGTTATTTTGCTCACCATTGATCAAGTGGGTTACAGTGTTGGACATATGATGGCTTCAGTCTGGAGTGTTGAGCACAGGACGCAAGCTGGACCTTTTCGCCTTTCCTCTCTTACTATGCCACCTGATAGCTCAGCTCATCACAGTGATGATTCACTCTGTTTAATGAGTTTCCCCACAGCGTTATGTCACAGCTGTTGACTAACCTCAAGGCCGTCATCATCACGTAAGAGATATAGCTCTAAATTTAGTGTGTGCTCGGGGTTACTGCTGTCTGATATTTTTTCTACCTTTTTAAAAGCAGGTACATCATGATTGTTTTACAGTTTTTGTGATGATTCGCTCTGAATGGACCAGAGTGGATTCATGGGTAGCATCAGTTCAGTTGAAGTAGAACAAGGTGGGCTGCTTCTGGATTGTGTAACCAAACACCCATGAGAGTGGAGGACCACACACTCAGTAACACCCACCATGATGTTAACAGAGTTGCTGTTTGTTGCCGTTTGCAGAGAAAATGTAATGAGTGGTGTTTATTTACATATAGAGCTGGGAAATGAGAGCCGATCAAGTGCTCACTGGAGACGCTACTAAAGCCAGGTGTGAACCAGTATATGTAGAGCTGTCCGTTTGTGATCAGATCACCTAAGACCCACGTTTTTGTTAGCTATGAATGGTGCCTAAGCTTGCTTTAGAAATAGTTGATGAAACTAGAAAACCCACAAACACATGGGCAGAACAAACTCCACACAGAAAGACCTCAGCCGGACAGTCTTCGGTATACAGATTGTCCATCACTGTGTATATTTTGGTGCCATTCTGGATCCAAGTACAGATAAAAAGAATACTTTACAGGTTGGCTATATGTATTTGTTAAGATAGACACTCTATTTGGGTTTTGTAGTTTTATATGTGTTGCAGTAAAGGACACATCCAACATTATTGCTAATCTTATAGAATGAGTGAGATTGTTCAGTATTTTGGTCAAGGACATTTTATCTGGAGCAACAGCATTGGCCTGTAGGGCTGCCTGTTTACAGAGCTGTTTGTCAGCCCACAAGAAAATACACTAACTGAGTGGAACCTTTCAAACTTGACTGAATGAAAGGTTTCTTTCCATAGTTATCCTTAATTTGCTGCATATGACCGTTTAATGTTTTTGGTATGCCAGTTTGATTTGATGCAGGGATTGTACATTTTATCACTAGGAACTATTTTAAAAACATGTTTTAATTTCAGGCTGCTTTTCAATTGTATACGTATATACCCTTTACATCCACTCATGTAGCTCTGTGCAAGATTGTGAAGTAAAGCTAAATACCAATGTAAGCTGTCAAGGTTGGTGTAGCATCTATAAATAACTTGGTTCACCATCCACAACATAAAAGATTTATTTATTAACCAATCTCTGTGTTTTTAGTTTTTGCATACTAGTGTACAACACACAACTTTCCATCAAAATAAATGTTGAATGTTGCTTTTTCAGCAACTGTAGGTTATGTCATCGACATATGGTTTTCAATGTAGGACAATGATAGAAAGGAAAATTGGTTTTCACAACCTTTTTGTGATTGGTAGATAATCTTGGATCTTGAAAACTGTCCTTTCTTTGCTGCTCCAGGTCGGGCAAAATAAATGATTTGCATATTTGCAAAATCTTTGGTGATGGAGAGAAGTAGGGGAGCTCTGCTGGCTTGTGACAGCAGGCAGAGGATTTAACCTCTCCACTCTCCCACCTCCTGTCTGTCTCCCATGACCTTTTATTCAATAAACAAGGTCAAGGCTGATGTAGTAACTTGGCAGGAGAAGGCAGAGAAAGCCAAACCTAGATTTATAATGTTAGGTTTCAGACTTTTTAGGTCTTTTGGAAATTGAAATTATTTAAAAATAATGATAAGTAAACCCTGTGCTAATGGAAAAATGAAAATGCTGGGGCTTTATAGTGCTCTGAATATAGTAAAAAATAAAAAATAAAAAAAAGAGAGAGACACAAATGAGGCAACAGAAACCAAATGACATCTAAACTCAGAAACATGTGAAATACAAGAGAAATGCATAATAAAAAAGTAATATACTGTAGGATCTTTTAGTTGAAACAAACATTTGGAAAAAGATCCACCTCATCTCCCCTACAATTTAACGACAGGTGTTCTCTTTGTCCTATCTAACAAAATATCTCATTTGTTGCTGGTTTATTATTTATTTCTGTCCATTTCCTCTGATTTGAAAGTGCAGAAAGGATTAGTGTGATTGTGAACAAAACGCTGTGCTGGAGAGGTGACAAACTTATTCCCCAGATGAGGCTATGGGAGATTAGAAACTGGTTTGTTTCAAAAATCAACTCATGTAATGGCATTTGTATCAAATATCTGATAAACTTTCAACCTCAATCTGACAGTTGCTCAACCCCCTCCATCACACTACCTTGACACAAAAGCAAACAACATTCCTGAAAATCAGAAGAAGCCAAATTGGTGCCGATGGCATTTGTGGGGCTTTTTTATTATTTTTTTATCTACATGTTCCCAAAATAATACAGTCAGAAGAAACTGGGGCACATTCAGTCCTAGATTAAATCTGGTTGCTCTACTCCCTGGAGGATGTGGTGGGTGAGTAGCTGGTGCACGGTGGTCCACATCAAATGTCAGTCCGTCACGTTCATCTCACTGTTTTAAAAAAAAAAATCCATTTACAGGAAGAAATCGCAGAAATGGGATGAGATGAACATCCTGGCCACGTACCATCCAGCCGACAAAGACTACGGCCTGATGAAGATAGACGAACCCAGCACACCTTACAACAGGTCAGAGCCATAAACAGATCATTATCTGTTTCTATTGATAATTGATAACGTATTACATGAATCTTCAAGTTTTATGTTTCAAAGACATTCATTGAATTGAGGCTTGGCAAAAATGTCTTCCTGCATCAACACTAAAATATTTCAATTAAGAACATTACATATTTTTAGGTTGGTGTGTGTTTGTGCTGGTGTGTGTTTGTGTTGGTGTTACAGGGGTGTCTCAGCAGGTCTGTAATCCAATATGTCAGTGTGCTGCAGGGAAGGTCACCTTAGTCACAGACCTTTCTTCTGTCTCTTCTCATGGTCCCCTTTCCTCTCCTCCTATTCTCTCCATCTCTCAGTCAGCATGACCTTCTATATTTCCTTTCCTGCTTAATCTTTCCCCACCTCACCTCATTATCCACTTATCTTTATTTGATTAATTCCTCTCTTTCAGGATGGTGGGGGAAGACGATGATGAGGGCGCACTGAGCGACTCGGACAGCCACGGTGGACTTGCAGCCGATGACCTGGCATCAAAGTAAGAATGAAACCTGAGTGCAGGCCAAGAACAGAGGTAGAGAGGAAAAGAGAAAGCAAGCGATGACAGGCGGGATGTTGAGGTTATACTATCTTTTTAGTTGCTGGTACAATGTGTAGCATTTTAGGTGTTTGGTGTAGGAGGAATGTAAAAGGGAAAATGTGCTCTCAGGTGTTGCCCTGATAAGACACACCTGAACGCACAGTACAATGGCTTTGTGCTCCAACAAGAATGTTTCATAACTTTAACTGATAAGGAGTATTTTACTGTTCAGCCTCTGACGTCCTAAGACACTCAGTGGCCACTTTATTGTAACATTACAAAAATAAACACTTTGGAAAAGACATTTAAAGACCACAGTTGTAACACTACTGTAGAAACTTTGTTTCCCCTTCCCTAAACATGTGGATCTCTTTTTATCCTTTATTCTAGATGTATTTTTCCTAGCTGTTAATTTTTGTCACTCTGGTATAAAACAAACCCTGCACAGCCCAGAGGCAGTTTTGGAATTAAGGTAGGCACCTATCCTGTACTGCAGCAGCTCAATGCTATTGTCCAGTTTTAGCCTCAGTCAACAGGCAGGGTTGTGTCATATACTGTAGTCTACGCACACATCCACACAGTGGGCAATGCACTCATTCACAGACTGCACCGCTTTGACAATGCTTCAGACTGGAGTCACTAAATGTATCTTGACAAACGTCATCCCTTTTCTGCTGAAAGAGAAGAAAAAACTGAGAGAACCCTGGTAAAGGGCGGCAGTAAATGTGTCATGTTCTCAGACTTCTCATTGAGCATTGAGAGCAGACTTCTCACTGCAGCTCTGTTACGTCACAGGCTTGCATTGTAGGTGGAGATATTTTAAGGTCACAGAGGGGGCAAATGCATATTCAAAAGGTTGATGACGCTTCTAACGTACGACAGACACAAAAACGAACAAAACAAAGAGAAAACAAATATCTCCTGGTAAAAAAAGTTGTGACACACACACACAGAAGGCCCCAACAAAGGTGTCGAGAGTTTGTGGTGATAAGAACTGGCGATGGTGGTGCTTTAAGCATGATCACGTGATCTCTGCAGCGTAATTAATATGTTACTTCCTTTGTCTGCCCACTGCATCGTCCATCGTGCAAAGTCCGGACCCAATTCTCCGCACTTCACCCACAGGCCCTATCTGAAAACTGCTTATGTTCGTTCAACATCATCTGACACCATTTCTTTGTTTCATGGAGCAGCTTCCTGCATTTTTACTCTCAGCCACACAAGCTGCTGATCCTGAAACAATGGGGTTGAATTCCAGGTGACAAAAAGAGTTATGCAATGTGAGCAACAGCTTTAATTCATACCAGCTGCAGTGGACATGCTGCTCAACAACTCTATCAAAAACGTTATTAGCTACCATAGTACATGACAGTGAAATTACATCAGTCAAAAAATGCTTATGAATACCAGAAGATATTTAATTTGAATTTCGCAAAATTTTGCTGTATCCAGATTATCTTTGAACAACGATAGAAAAGGAGTATTAATAATCCTACTAGAGTAAATGTGCATTGTCATGGAGTATATTAACCATATCTGTAAATTCAATTTTTGGGGGAATGTCAATACTGATATTCAGGACTCAGGAGTAAAAGTTTTGATACCGATATATATATCGTCCAGAGAAGTAAATTGTAAGGACATCCTGAGGGATAGGGGCTTCATCAAAAAAGTTTATAACATAGTGTTTCAATAGAATAATTCCTTGTAAGTTAACCAAATCAGAAGTGGAGCAGGACTGTGAATAACATCTTCCCCCTTTCAGAGAAGCAGCCTCACCCTGAACCTTTGAACTAAAATCTTTTTGCAAGTCTGTTTGAAGAAACATCCATCTATCACTGGGAGCTGTCTGCTGGATGGTCATAGGAGCTTGAGAACTGTATTTGCTGTGGGCCATCGGCGCTTACATAAGTGCTTTGATGCAGGGATGGGATGAGTTTGTTTGAGTGCTTGTGTGTGTATGCCACAGATAGGGTAGTGATTAGCTCTGGGCTTGCAAGTCAATTAGCTGCCTTTGTTTACGTCTGCAAAGAGTGCCTTCCATTGTTTTACACTAAACCATCCAGATAGTAAAAAGTCTTCTCCTCTGTCCTTTCGTTCTTGTTTTATCTGTCACATCCACTCACAAGTTTCACCTGAATCACTGTATCACTTACACCATCTCTCTTCCTGTCTCTGCCTCCATCCACTTTGTGTATCTGACACTGAAACTGCAGCAACATAGAAAGTCTTCTCCCCCTGGCTGAATCGGGCCAGTTGAGATGAGCAGAAGTGCACTAAATGTGTAGCTTCCCCGGGGCAGTTCCTCGTATTCACAACCTCCCATCGAGCCATGAACCATTATTCACATTGTCCTCTGCTGTTGAAGCTTTTTGTCAGCATGAGAGATGGGGAGCGTAACTCTTGTTATTTTTGTTTCATGCTTGAGTACTCACACACTCTCACTGTGCCTACTCTCTCCTTCCTCCCCCTTGCCTAACATATCTCCATCTGTGTTCCTCCAATGTCTGTCTCTCTATCGTAGGCCTTTTTTGTGCTAATTTCTCCTCAATAACTGAAGGGGTGGTTACAACTGATCTCCTATTTCTATTTAGTTTTGTGCTCATTTAATATGACAATAACACAGCAGAGAACAGGTAAAATGTGAATTGAATTCATCTAAAGAGGCAGTTAATTGCAAATGTGTGTACTTATTTTGTCTCTGTCTGTTGTCTTCTAAAGGCTTGTTGCAGCAGAGGGTTCAGACCCTCGTTTTATGAACAAAGAGGAAGAGAGCAGTGAGGAGGAGGAAGAGGAGCTGACTCCTGAAGAACAAGGTAAACACCCACTCGTCCATGCCAAGTGCTACCTTTATTTATCTAGTTTCGTATTATCATGATAATATCATGACATCATGTTGTTTTAACAAAAAGAGAGCTGTACTGAGTATCCATCTCTATCCTTATGAGTGTGCACATATAGCCACTCTCAGAAGTGGGTATTTGTGCGGTTTTTGCTATTGCTACACAGCCAGTGTTAGCATTATTAACAACTGTTTACTTACCTGTATAGAAGATCTGTTGTGAGTTCAGCTTCAAACTTAATTTCTCTTCTTGCCAAGACCTATCTCCAGCCGTGGAAAGCGACACCAATTGTTTTTCCTCTATTTCTATTACTTCTTTACTTCTACTGAAGATAGATGCAGATAGCTTTTATATAATGAGTCAGTGTAGATTTCTTTCTGCCCTGAAGAAGTATTGCTGCTCAGAGGGTGTAGTATAACTTATTGTCTGTAAATGCAGCAATACTAAAGCCCTTAGCAAGTGACAATCAGCACCACCTGCTCCCGGCATGATAGGTGGCGGAGAGAACGCACATTTAGTGTCTTTAAAACACAGTGTCCTCTGTTGCTATGAGGTTGACTAATGCAAAATATAGGGAAGTGCTGATGGAGAGGGATTGGTTTGGGGATGGGCTGGAGTCTGCACCTGCACACACACATATGCACACAGAGTATCAGGTTGCTTTTGACTGTTCTCTGACATTGTGCTTCTGTAAACACACACCTCTCAGGTGCAAAGTGGTCAGTAGAGATGTATAACAGTTTCCATGCTTGCCAGTTGTTTCATATTTGTATCTGAACCATACAGGTCAAAGCAGGGGAGCAGTCTGGAAACTGCAAATCCAGTCAATGTAATCCAATGGCGCAGATCTGCTGCTTCAGCAGTTCGAATCGTGACACACATTTTTATACACGCCACCCTGTTCCACCTACTGCAACTTATAACACCAGTTTTAGAGTTGTAGAGGAAGACGTGCAAATTGAAAGAAGATTTTTATGCATGTATTTTATCGTTAGCTCTTAATGTGAACAGAACAAAGTACTCAATATACTCTGTGTTTAGTAAAGTCATTTCAACACAACCATCACACCCACTCTCCAGGAACTGCAGTGCTAAAATGCATTTCAGTACAGTTACTATTAATGTCAATGTTGCAGCAAAACTAAAATAAGTCTCATCACTGTGTCCTAATTACATTTGAACCCTTTCAAAGTAAGTCAGTATTCTAAACTATAGAGACCCAGGAGGTTTTTCTTTGTAGCTACGATGTGTGAATGCGGGAATAGTACATGCATGCAGCAACCTTTCAAAGAGGAATGATGAACAAGTTGAACCATTGTTTTCATCAATAAGGATGCATTATGCCAGCAATATAGCGTGTCCCACAACCCTACTCTTTAAATTTTACACACACATTCTTTGGATTTTTGTTGTCAAATGTCACAGTGATCAGGCAAAACATGCTTTTTATTTAAAAGTTCTGAAATTATGTCAAACAGGTCAAAATGATAAAGCAATTCAAATTTAAATTCCAAAATCAACTTCACACTGTGGCATCATAATATTTTGCCCTTATATTGTGTGTTTGTTTCCTGGCCATGATTCGACACCATAACTGGTTTGTGCGGACTTCTAACTGCGATGTGTTAATTCTTTCTACAACTTGTCTCTTCCCCTGCAGCCAAAAAGAACAATTTTCAGATGATGAGGAAGATGCACTACAATGAAGGCCTAAACATCAAACTGGCCCGTCAGCTCATCGCCAGCGAACTAGAAGATGACGAGGATGCAGACGAGGAGATGAAGGACGACACAGATGAGGCGAGGGAGGAGACGGAGGAGATCAGTGTCGACCCGCCACAGGAAGGTAAAGAGAGGGAGACTGTGTTCCTGTGCACGTCTAGATAAATTATTTGGACAGTTTCCAGTCCAGTAGGTTTTTCAGTGTGTGGAAAGAGGCGTAGTGGTGGAGTACAAATTTAAAATGTCATTGATTTGAATAGAAATCCTCTTTGTGCACCGCTGCAGGCTGTCATTGTGGATGTCGTTAAATGAAACAACTGGCTGCTGTTTGTGCCGCACTGTGGTTTCGTTTCTCACACAACTGTGCATCATTAGCACACTGTGTTGTAACACAAAATTGTTTGATCTGCTGATTCCAGTCTTGCAAACCTGCTCTAGAAATGTCTAGTATTATTTCTTAAAATATGGTAAATCTATGACCTTTAGGTTGGAGTCTTAACTATTGGCAAGTGGTGGGGCTGTATCTGGAGAAGTATAAATCTGTTTAGTGCACAAACAAACAAGATGTTGCATTTTTCATGATCTCCACCAGTTCCTCTATTGGGAGAAATAAAATTAGTTGTTTCCATTTTCTTTAAAATCTCACGTCTGCCTTTTTGTCTCTTGTTTTATTTTCCAGCTGATTCTCTGGACTCATAGACGAGGCCTCTCCCCCACCTTTACCATGTGTGTGTGTCAGCTCTAGATCCAGACAGACGATGCTACTGGGCTCTGTGTTCTCAGCGCGGGGCCACAGAGCAGACAGCTTCAGCACCCATACAACGCCTCTCAACAGCCAATAACCTCACGGCCACCTGTCTGTCTCTACTTTTCCATAGAACTGTGCAATTTGACCTTCAAGCACACACTGTTGGCCCCTTCTTCTCTCTCTCCTGTTGCCAAGAATTTTTTCCGGCCACCTCGTCTGGACTGAAGAAAATGTGATTCTGACCCTGCCAGGAGGTTTAAGGCCTTTTCAAAAAAAAATAAGAAAGAAAGAAAAAGAAAATAAACAGTCTGAAAACCAGAACTGTCCTCTGGCCACTTCAGTCCCTCTGCAGGCTGCGGAGCCAGTATGCCAGCCTTGGAGCTCGCCAGGGGAAATCCCACAGCCTCAAGAAAGACATATATGAGACATGACGACAGCGCCTGTGCCTGCTGCGCTCTTATTTTTGTTTTGCTGTGTGACCCGCCACTCTGCTGCAGTTTTCCACCTTCAGTACTTCTCATGATAAAAGTTGGACAAAATTAAGATCAGTTTAGTTGTTTGTCTTTCTTTTAATTTAATTTTAATTGTTTTACCCCATTCACATCCTGATATATGGTTACAATGCTGTGCCATCAGAATTGGATTATTTCACTTTACATGACATAATGGTGTTATGATGACACATTAATTTAGCATCTGTATATTAGTTTTGCAGTAAATGACAACATAGCAACATGTATCCAACAATACTTACTGTTAACTGATATGTATGTTGGTTTCTGTGCTGCTCATAGTAAAAAGGCTTTTTACCCAAGATCAAGTTAAAACAACACAGATTTAAAAATTACAATGGCACTTAGCTTCAGACTTTGCCTCCGTGCTATTTATCTCAAGCAAGAGCATCACACCAAACCTCATTTCAAATTCTGGCAATTTTACAAACATGTATACCTCATAGGACCAGACCTAAGGCCTTTTTACTAAATTGAATCCACCGATAAATTTGGCACATAAGTTCTCAAAACAAGAGGCACTTTTTTTCTTGTAAGTAGAAACTCAATGTTTAAAATGTCTTTTCATTCTTTTTCTCCTGTCCATGAAATTATTTTGTGAAAGCTGATTGCAGGACATGTTGGTAAAATAAAAGTTTTTCCTAGTAGAGATTTCAGCACTTGAGGCATTTTAAGTTCATAGGATGGGACCGTAGTGAAGTCCCACACTTGAGGTGTAACACATGCTACTGATAAACTGGACAGTGTCCTGTAGGAAATGGCTTCTGTCTTTTAACAAGTAACAGCTTTAAGAACCAGGCTCTTATGTAAATCTGACATAGAACAAACCAGCACTCACTGTTCCCCCGCTTGGAGAAATTTTGCATTTTCACCATGTGAGCTTCATTTTACAGGATCTGTGAGTAAATTATTGTGAGACAGACACAATATAATAGTTTTGATTTATTTTCTCACCTGTCTTATATGACCTATTTAGTTTCTCACCTGTCTTATATGACATGATGTCTGGAATGTCAGAAAAGAGTTACTATATTGATGCTACTGATTTTAATTAAAGAGGATTTTGGTGGTGGAGTTAAACCACTAGAGGGGGTGTTTCAAGGATTTTTTTTTTATGTTTTTGTGTCAAGAAAGTTGTTAGCAAGTCTTAAAAAATGTGAAGAGAAAAAAACAAACAATTTATTGTTGTCCAAACCTAAACTTTGCATTTAAAACCATTGTCGACTAAGTTTGTGGAGAATTATCCACAACACACACCGTATGACTTCAAGCCCAGAGAGAAACGTGTGACATGAAAAGTGTCAAGGTGCATCTTGTGTTGTGATTTCTTTCCTCAAGACCCTTTAATTCTTCACTGTGAGCAGAAGTGTTAAGATTTTGTATCATGGAAATACAAACAGTCGTAGACCAACAGTAAGACAACTGCAAATGCAGTATTTTTCTTTTTTGTATAGTATTTGGTTGCATTTGTTTGTTTTATCACCATGATTGAGGTGAAAGCAAATCCTTTTAGTTATTTCCACCGACCAACAAGAACCCTCGAGTCTAGTTAGCGGACAAAACATCCATGATGACATGATTGTTGTGGAGGAACGGGAATATGATGTGTTGAATAACCGATTTTGACAGCATTGTTGTTGTCTTCGTAAACGGATAGAAGGAATATTTAGGAGAAGCTGAGATGATAGTTTTATCTTCTCTTTTGAGGAGAGAAGGACAAGACTGTCTGAAACATGACTGACGTGATCACCGACATAGGTGGTTATTACCTGTCAAATGTGCCTCTTATGTACATGTGTGTAAAATGAACCGCCTATTCCCCATGTTATTGTTTCTGTCCAGTCTCACGTTTTGTTTTTTGCACCATTTTCTCCTTGTTCGTTTGTTTGTTTTCCAAGAACGATAGACTGTTAAGCAGTCCCATTATTGCACTGTGTCTCTACCAAGATTTGGATATTAAATCCATGTTTTTGTTTGCATTTCCAGTGTGCATGTTCTTAATCATCAGATCGTGTGTATTCTGTTTCGTCTATTATTAAACAGATGTTAGGAACCACTGTGTGTTGTGGTTTATGCTTTATCTGAAGTTTCAGAGACCTAAAGACTAAATGATGCAGATGATCAGATTTCATTCACTCTGTCTATGACTGTTTTTTTCTCTTGTCATTGATTCATTGATTTAGATGTGAAGCTAACTTATACATATTTCAAAGCAAGCTGTAGAGATTTGATTTGGATGTTTGAATATTGTTCACATCTCTGGCAGCCACTGGTTTTTTTACTTTTGGACATATAACTTCTTAGATTTGCAATTTGCTGCTGTTATGTAATCCATCAATTTGTCTTGTCTCGTTACACTGATCAAATTTTTTCTCTAAAAGAAACATGCAAGTCATAATGGTAGATGTGTAACTAAGGAAGATGATCTTCGTAGTGAGGGTGTATCTGCGATATGCTAAAACATGTCATATGTCTGTTTGTTTTTCATATCAAATGGGAACAATTAGGATACTTGTAGAACATGAGTAGAAATCTGTTTAGGGTCCGTTCTTTAGGGATTTAATGGAGACAACTGGCTCCATGAAGAAAGAAAGGTATATTTTGGTCTTGCATATAATAAAAAATAAATAAAGCAACAGATGTTTGGATCTGCAGAATAATCCCACCTTTACCATAATCTGAAATGTTGTAGTTTATAAAATGTTTGTTGTTTTTCCCTCAAGGCTGCCGTAGTTTTGATAACGCATTGTATTTTCTGTTGGAGTAATTTCCTGCGATGCTGTGTGACAGTGCATTGCTCTGGTCGTCAGGTGGCGCTGGAACACAACACATCTGCATCCTTGTTGACTTTCCAGAAATTCTAATAGGATAAAGCAGAGGTCCGTGTTCGTGCGGGGATTATCCCGCATGTTTGGTGTGAGTTGGGTTCTTACAACTGAGCCTGAACGCATCATCTGGCGTTTTCATTCAACCGCAACGTAACGTTTGTAACGTAAATCACCGCAGGATTGTTCTCCACTGCTGAATGAAATAACACGTTATACACACTGGTCATGTGTGATCAGAGTGTGTATGATCAGAGTGTGTATGATCAGAGTGTGTGTGACCAGAGTGTGTGTGATCAGAGTGTGTATGATCAGTGTGTGTATGATCAGAGTGTGTGTGATCAGTGTGTGTCTGATCAGAGTGTGTATGATCAGACTGTGTATGATCAGAGTGTGTGTGATCNTGTGTCTGATCAGAGTGTGTATGATCAGACTGTGTATGATCAGAGTGTGTGTGATCAGTGTGTGTATGATCAGAGTGTGTGTGATCAGTGTGTGTAGGAATCTGCAGCAGAAAAAAACAGTAGAAGAAGAAACAGGGCGTCTGTCGTGTGTCGACGTTAATTCCTCTGGATCAGGAAGCTCCTGTCAACTCTGCCAGAGATAGTGCACACAAACACAGAGGCGTCACTCATACCCGTTTTCCGTGCCTGGCTCTGATACCAAACACCACCAAGACCAAGCTCACCATTATAACAGTATGGAAGAGTCATAGGAGAAAACCACGAGATATATCTATCTATCATTAGATGGATGGATGGCTAGATAGATCTATAGATAGATAATAGATAGATTGATATTGATCCTGAAGGAGTGTGTGGTTAAAACTGTGGTCACTCATCATTCTCGTATATCTTCCTCTGATTTAGTTTGACTGTGTTCTGGGCATTTCCACTTTATTGTCAGAATGCAAAAGGAGAAAGAAAATAAATTGGACTCACAACGATATTATTGTTATATGACACAAAAATGAAAGAAATCAAAACAGTTTCCAAATCTATCCAATCAAAGCGACATTTTAAATCATTCATTTATAAATGTATAATATAAAAAAATATATATTTTTTAAATGTTTGAATGTAATGTTCATTCTGATAAGCATCAAATGATGGTAACTTCAGTTTTGTATCTTTTCCATAAACTCGGCAGGAGAAGTGGCTCTGATGCTCCCTGGGCAGTGATCCCTCTCTCTGGTGTAGACGATCTGTGTGTGTGTGTGTGTGTGTAGTACACTGGCTGCTCGGCTCGGACCGGAGCAGCTACCGGGCGACTCTCTCGTGTCTTCACCGCGGACCGCTGCGTCTCTCACGGTCGAGTCCGGTTCGTCCTCGGGGATTCCCACTCCTCCAGCGCCCCGTTGTTTATGGTCGCGACACCGGCAGCTGCTAACCTCAGAGGCTCGCTGGCTAACGGAGCGGCGGCAGAGTGGAGCCAGCAGGTCGGACCGAGGCGCAGGGGACGTTAGCAAACAAGCTAATTAGCCAGAAAGACCGAGCCTGGATTATTATCTCTAATCAAAGAGGAACCGAGCGAGTCTGCGGAGAAACTCACTGCGGCAACACCATGAAGATCACGGTGGACTTCGAGGAGTGTTTGAAGGACTCCCCGCGGTTCAGGTGAGTGTCAGGCTTTTGTCCCATTTTCTTTTAGTTGTTATTCATTTATTACAGACGGGGGGGGGTCTGTTAGCTGCTTTAAGCTAATCGGCAGTTACCAGCTAGCTGTTGGCTGCCTGTTACTTTTCTATTTTGGTCTGTGAGGGAGAGGAGAGGAGAGAGGCAGGGGAATCAAACACTCACTGACCGCTGTGCTGAGCACGTTTGTCCGGTATCGAGCTGCTCCAGTGGTCGTACGTAAACTATGTTAACACATTTAAAATATGAATGGAGGAAGTTACAGACTGTTCCACTGGCTGCTGTTTTCTGACAACTGTGACATACTGAGGGACGATGTTTGTCAACTGACGCCCTGAACCAGTGGCTCCGTCCCCCCAGATGTATCCACCTCCCCACGGTCATATGGACAAGTACTGAACCGATCTGCATCACTCTTGTTGGGGGGGGGGGACATGGGCCAGAGAGGAAACCATTACACTTTGTTGAAGATTCATTTTGAAAGGCAGCTCCCCAGGATAAATGTTTTGTACCTGGATGTACTAAAATGAGTTTATGAGTTTCATCCCTTCAATTGATTTCTGTTATAGGAGCCAGACAGTCTACTGAGGGCCTTTCTGGTTTTTATTTTATACCCTTCAATTACATTATATGATCTCAGATAACTCGAGTTATATGTACTCTTGTAGGTGTTTCTTTTGGAAGGGCATGGGCCTCACTTCTCTCCCACCAGCCACAGGATCTGGTTCCTCTCAAAAATGTGCAAACGTTGCAGAATTTTACATCTTTAAATGTCATGTGCGAAATCCCAATATTTAAAAATCATCAGTTTACAATGATGTTTTGCATTGAAAAGCAGCAAATCTTATTATTGGAGCCTGGATTAAGACAATATTCAGCATCGTTATTCAATCAGTGAATTCATTTTTCTTGATTGATCAACTATCAAAAGAGTTAAAGATTACTTTTCTGTTAATCACCTAATCAGTTACTCTAATAATTTCAGGTCTTTTTTTCACACACAACATATTTTGTTCAGTTTTTTACAGAAGACTAAGAAAACTTTGAGATGTACAATGTAAATGTGACAAGTATTCACGTCAAAGAAGCCGACACCAATAAACGTTCAATATTATTGCTTCGATGATTTGCTTATTAACATAAGATTAATCAGCAACTTATTTTATAACAGACTAATTGACTGACTCAGCTTTTCAAGTATTGATCAAAGTAGGTAATACATCCTAAAACTCACCATTTATTTTCATTATGTGTCAGAATATTGTTTTTATTATTATTATTATCATTATTATAGTAGTTGTAGTTGTAGTAGCAGTAAGTATTTAGCTGAAGGTGTGACCTCTAAGTAATGGTTGGATCCACACTTGAGTGTAAATGAGCTCCTCAGCAGTTGGGTCAGGTGTTGGCTGATCATGTGATGTATTTCGACGAGCTTTGACATCTTCACTCTCTTTTCTCTTTCAATTTGTCCAGAAGAAGTTTTGTCTGATGGGATGTTTGCTCTCAACTTCCTCCTCTCTCGAATTTGCGTTGTAAAGAGATTTGAGGAGGCACCTCCCTCCTTCCTCCCTCAGCCCCCGCTCCCTCCGCTGCTGCAGCAACATCCTCTCTCACAAAAACGAGGAACAGATGTTAGAAAGTTGTTTGCTAAAGAATGGAGCTTTTTTTAATCTGAGCATTTCCTTTGGGGGTTTGCATAAAGGAAAACTTCCCAGTCAGCTGTGTGACTCGAAGTTGGTTGGAAAATGTTGCTGAACAATCTAATTGGCAATTATTTACAAGCACGACAGCTGACTGCTTTTAGTTGTCGCAACCAGCAGTTACTTTCATTATTGTAGTAATCACTGGGTCTAAAATGTCAAAGGTGGTACAAAAACATCCAAAGTGACATCAGCAAATGCCTCTTTTACGTTAAGAACTATAAAGAAAAGTTGAGAATCTGGCTATTTATGTCTAAAAATTACTACTATTGATCAACCAGCCAACCAATTAATGGATCAATTATCTCAACCCATTATCTTTGAAATTTCTGTCTGGTCTCCTTCAATCCCACTCACATTTGATCGATTGTGGATAACAGATAGTGCTGAGTCACTGCAGGAAGTTCGAAGCGGTCTGTGTCAGTGATGTTACAATAAATGGAGGGAACTACTAAAGCTAAGCCGCAGACAGAGTCTGTGGTGAACACACATTGTCTGAAACTTAAATCTTTAACCAACGACTCTCAGGCCGTAAACAATCCCATTTTCCCATGAACTTCAAATCTTCCTTGTCTTCCATGATGTTGGACATTTATGTTTTAGTATCATCCTTGAACATTATAGATAGTGAACTACGAAAGGCCAACCCAAAGACTGTTGAATTCAGAAAACTTCAAAACATCATCAATAGTATTGCTGACCTGATAGCTCAGTCAGCAGCGTTTTCTTCCTGAGGATTATGACTCAGTACAAACGGCCCTGACCTTCCTGTAACTGATGCACCTGTTTTGATGGCTACGTTACATCCAGTCAACCTAAGCAGTGTCTATGTTGCTTGAACATATGAAAACACATGTAAAACGTGCAGCTATAAATATGAAATGTACCCCTCAGAATATTGTTAACAACTTGGAGCTAAAACAATTTGCCAGTTTATAACTTGGGTAATTTTTCAAGCAAACATTACAAAGTTTATTTACTTCCAGCTTCTCATCTGTGAAGATTTCATTATTGAGTGTGTCTTGGTCGCTAGTAAACTTAATATTTTTGTAGTTAGTTAGACAATGTTATTAGCACTTATTAGAAAACAATAGTAAACCTCTGTTACAGGTTGTAGAAGAAAATATTCCATTTACCAAAGCATTTTTAACACTAGTGTATGAATACCCACATTATAAAAACCTTCTGCTCTCTGTTAAATCACTTTAGTCTGATGGGAAGCCACTTCCCATGAGCCTCGGCTGTTGGGTGTCACAGCTAAGCGCATAGCCTCATCTCTCCCTCTCATCTATATTTTCATTGACCTCCAGCCTAGTGCTGGAGTCATCTGTCAAAGTTTCCTGACTTTAAAGTCGACTGTGGGTTCATCCTGAGGAGTTGGTGCTGATCTGAGGTTTTCACAGCAGTTTTCCACTTTGACCACCATCGTTTAATGTCATTTTTCCAAACCCCCACTTGTTATGTTTAGCCAGAGAAGAGGACAGAGCAGGAGAGAAAGAGAACGGATGAAAACATGGAATATACACCAGTGTGAAGCAGCTCTCCCTCGCTGCAACATCTGTTTCCATTTTGGTGTTTGCTTTCAAGTCTGTGCCAGCGAATATGGAGCCCCCAAATGCAGAGAGGGTTGTTTTCAAGTGGTGATTTGGCACACCCCACACTTTTTTTTTTCGCTCTCATCCTCATTTGAGTTAGGAAGCTGTCTTTGGTTATAAACCATGCTTTCAGCCCGGAGGAGAGACGCACTAGTGCAAAAAAATGTATTTTTGGCAGTAAACCCTGGTAGCCTAGTTTTCCACTTGAGAGTAGACATTAGACTCTGCCTGGAGAGCTTTCCTGACTCCTCTTCAACTATGACATTTGAAAATTCCCTTTCAGAGGACTGTGGCTTTTCTCTCCATATAGACACAAATATTGCTACACATTCAATATGCCTTTCTCTTCTGAAGAGTCCCAAAGTATCAGCAGTGTATTTTTCACATTATGTTAGCAACATGATATTTGTATTGATAGTGTAAGGCTTGATTTCCATGGCATTGGCCAATATTTATAATGTCTGTGGAGCTGAGGTGTTATGACATCCTTAACAGGGTGTTCAAGAAAGCCTCACGTCAAGAAATTGAATCCTAAAACATCACAAAAGAATGGTGGGTATGTTTTTATGCAGAGTAGACATGAACTGCCTGGACCAGATGAGCTAATGTCTGTAATTAGCAGCAACATGTTTCTCTCGAATCTCATCCTAATTGTCATAATGTGATAGCTCGCTCCTGATTGGTTTTGCTGATAGTGAGGTTGTCTGAGCGCAGTGACATGAAGTCACCGATCAACAGTTTCCCAGAGTCACTGACAGCAGCTGTAGAAGCAGCAGATCACCATCAGTCTCTAGAGCTCATTCTGTGATACATTCTGATTAGTTTCCCCTGGGAGTCCTGATACAGGCTTGTTAGCATGCCCGGGGTTGTTGCAGGTTGATTAAATTGAGCCGCAGACCATTTCCCTTTAATGGTTATTAATTAAGGAGATTAACAGTTTATGAAATATGAGGGATAACCCTGCTCTTTTTTATATGCTACTGCGGGAGACAGTACACCCAAGTAACTAAGGCGAATTCATGTAACATCCTATCTGAGCCACTGAAAGAAAATTATTATTAATATTATTATTAAATTATTTTCTGTTAGAATGGAACAGAAATTGTTTTTGACTGATTTTAACCAATGCCAGGAAGTCCACCCTATCCATCCATCCTTCCTATTCAATTAATCATTCAAGTTATTGATCAATATTAAGTTAATGATTGTACATTTTTCATCGTTAGGTTTTAAATTGTTTCTCTCACACAAATGACATTTATTATCATATTGGAAATCACAATCACTCAGTTTTTCTAAAAACAGCGTTGCTGTGACTTCCACCTTCTGCTCAGCGTGAGTTTCCTTCCTGCAGCAAGTGTGTGTGATGTAGGACGGCCAAGGATAAACAGTAAATACAAAAATTGGCCTGAATGTTCATTCATTACATCAGGCAGTATTTCCCCCAAAGCCTGTGTCAGTGTTTATCTTTAAATAATGACCTCATCTAGTTGATGTTGTTGAAGCTCGTGCGTCTAATGGTGCGTTTTACCACAGCGGGACCCCTCCTCCCCATCAGCACTGCTCTGCTCTCTAACAATCACAGGATCTACGTCACAGCATTGAAGCTCACCCCATTCTTCACATTTCCATCCACGGTAACAAATTCAAAATGTTCAGTTGTTTACCACGGCCACAACTGTCATTT